GATTGGTGTAGGGGATTGGGGAGATGGGCGGGAACGGGATCGCAGTCGGGGGGTGGGGTAGCACGAAGCGAGGGGTAGGGAGGGATCGGTCGAGAGTCGGGGGGGGGAGGTTGCGCGGGAGCGGGATCGGAGTCGCGATGAAGAAGAAGAAGAAGAAGAAGAAGAAGAAGATAAGAAGATAAGAAAAAGAAAAGAATGAAGAGGAAGAAGAAGAAGAAGATAATTGGAATAAGAAGAAGAAGAAGAAAATAAACAAAAAAAAAAGAAAATTATCGTCGATTACTTATTTGCGCGGAGGTAGCAACGACGATGACGAGGATGGCACGGCGTGGCGACGAGGACGACGGGCATGGCGATGGTGACGTGGCACAACGACGACGATCACGACGATGACGATGATGACGTGGCACTACGACGACGATCGCGACGATGACAATGATGACATGGCACGACAGCGGCGATCACGACGATGACATGGCACTACGACGACGATGATGCTGATGATGGCCAGGTGGTGACGACGAAGCAGGGTGGGTCGGGCGGGTTCGAACCGCTCCGATACCTGTGTGACGAGCGCGAGGCTGAGGGAGAGCCGAGGGAGAGGAGAGAGAGAGGGAGAGAGTGAGAGCACACGCACACACTCACTCACTCGACACGACTGAGGGTCGAACACAGACACAGTGGCAAGGGCACAAAGCTGAAGTCTTGGATTCCGAATGCCGAAACAGCAAGTCACACTGAGTACGAGTACAGCAGCTGAAAACTGGTACGAGACTGGTCCGCATACTGTACGGGGAGCCGGTATAAGTACCGGTGACACGTACGATACCAGGGGCATTTCCACAAAAGCCTCGAGGGCGGAACTGAAAAATGCGGTATTTGAAAGTGGCGCCCGAATTGCAGCATGGCGCCAATTGTCCAAAATCCGATGGTACCAAAGGAGGGGTTTGGAAAAAAGGGTGCCAGGCCGAAAACAGGATGCAGCAGAAACAGCAAAAAGATAGACAAGGGATTGAGCCCTGGTCGAGTCCGTAACACTATCCCCTCCCTCTGAAAGACTCAAAAGTCATGTCTCTAGCCTGAAAAATGTCTGAGAGAGTGCCTAGGGTCAAGGGGTACCAAGATCTGAGTCAAAAGCTGTCTCCAGTACCCCAACATGAGACAGTTGACTCTTGGAAAATCAAGAGTCAACCCAAGCACGGGATTCCAAGCCCAAAGTCAAAGTCAACCCGCTGGTCAAATACGGTCGTCGATCAAATACACATCAGTGGTTGTCTGCAGGTATCCAGAATATTCCAGTCCAAATGGGACTTTAGGGAAAGCTGGGACTGCCCTGCATCCAGGCCATTGGTTTTCAGATCATATGCGCCGTCGACCCAAAGAGACTGGAGGCTGGCCAACGTGAGCCAACACTATATAGAGTTGACCCAACCTCTGTGGAGACCATTCTGCCTTGCGTTGGCTTGATGGTAGTACGATATCGCGAGGCTGCTGGAGATTATGCTGGCACCAGTGCTGCTGGGTGGGCGCCAGCATCAGGGGAGAATATGTTGGTGTGGCCATTGCCGCCATAGCTATAGACATTGTTGTTGAGGTCGGGCGAGGCGGAGGAGGATCGAGACTGTGAGAAGGGAGAGCGTTTGAGGGGAAGCTTACCTGGACTTACCTGGGGACGTCGTGTGTGATCTGCTGTTTGTCTCCATGAAGGTGAGGAAGACCTGCGCCATCCTCCCTGATTGGCTGCTGATGAGGATGGAGGATGGGCGCCCGGTTCTCACCTGCACACTGTATTTGTTCGAGAACGTCAATGGGAGACTGCATTGCTGAGGTGGTGACAGGGGATGACACATGCGCAGTCGAGCAATGTATATGGAGCCAAGGATCCACAAAGTGATGAAAAGGAATCGTATGCACAATGCAGTGTCAGCAAAGCATCAGCAAGCAATGTACATCCAGATACATATGAAAATAGCACAATGTAGCGCAGCTGATTCAGTGGAAGGCTCAAAGACATGACCTGAACTATCAGAGACTGACTCGACATCCCATCATACACCACACATGTGAGAGAGGGAGGAGGGACCGCATACACAGAAGAAAGGTCGCTCCTTGCACACGCACATGGGGGAGATACCATGGATGAGAGATGGGGGGAGAGGCGAGACGAAGATGGAGGTGAGGGAGAAGACCAAGATCATGATAGCTAAGTCCAAAAATAGTCTCCCTGCCGAATGTCCAATCAATGTCTGCCACAAAAATGTTGAATCAGATCCTGGGCTTCATGCCCGATGCAACCTCTGCCTGTAACCTCTCTCTGTCTTTCTGAAAGAAGAAGAAGAAGAAGAGGAGGAAGAAGAAGAAGAAGAGGAAGAAGAAGAAGAAGGAAGGAGGGAGAAGAGATGGAGGGCGAGCCGAAGAAGAAGAAGAAGATGTCGTCCTCCTCGCTGTCTCACCTGCAGGTAACTGCCGCCATGTACTGACCGTCGTCGTGCCCCTGTGCAGGTCGCTGGCGTGGAGCACAGCTATGGCGCCCAGGTAAGTACTGCCGACGCAGGTATGGTCTCTGCCCCTCTGCCTACCTACACCTCCACCTCTACCTCCAGCGTAGCGTTGTGGTGTCGCAGGATGCTCCAGCAGCATGTCGCCCAAGAAGTGAGTTACTCGGCATGTGTCTCTGCCCAGTCGTGGCCCAGCTATAAGTAGCGCTGGACTGGTCGGTCTGCCTCTCTGTGTGACTACGGTCCTGTGCCCAAAAATGTGGGCCTACAGGGTCTGTGTTGCATACTGTAACGTGCAGACTAGAACAAGAACCGACCTCTCAATACAAAGTACAAGATAATACAGCGGAAGACTTAGATACGAATGATCCGAACAATCAATATTGCAATGCAGCCTTGAACACACATCATCATCATCATTATCTGGTGTGAAGGGGGTCTGGCGCTTCACACAAGAAGACTGCGCCAGCCCCAACCATACACAGACGAAGGAGGGGTTAGACGAAAGAGGAGGGGAAGATGGGAATGTCGTCAACACCAAGTCTTGGTACAGGCCCAAATAGTTCCTCGTTGAAATGTCTGAATCCCAATGTCCAGTCTGGATCCAATGTCGTCAAGTCTCAAGTCACAACTCTTTCTCTCTCTGTCGTAGTCTGAGAAGTCAGGTGGCGAGAGGGTGAGAAGAGATGGTGGACTTAGAAGAGGAAGAAGAAGAACTCTCTCTCTCTGTGTGTCCAGTACTAACCTGTGAAGTTGGCGCCTTGATGCA